TTGTCGATCGACCGGAACCCAGTACTCACCACTGTAAACAAGCCCTCATTTTGTTTCAAAACAAATTTAAATCGAACATAAAAAACTACATGCAAATTTATGACACGGAGAACTCTTGTTTTTATTTTCAATGCAAATAAAAGTAACGCTGAGTGGAAAATCAAAATGGCCGCCAATATTCCGGACACGTGAATATTTCCAGTGTTTTACAGGCTGTGGAAATAAATGTATTTTCTTGCTCCCGGAGTCTTGTCGGGACTGCGACTCCTTTGTTTTCACTGAATCCGCTACATGGATAAGCAGATTTGGATTATAAACTAACTAAATGTTTGGATAAGTTAGCCAGCTCATCGTGGGGTACGTTGACTATGTCACGTGACTTTGATTGACAGTTTTGCATTTAGTAACACGTTGGTTGATCCGTGGTCATTTCTGTCATTACTTGATAGAAATCTCAACGTACACGCTATTTGTGACCACAATCGTAACGTCACACCAAGGCTAGTATATTCATAGTCACACCTATCCATTTTTGGTACAACATAGTGGCCGAAAGTACACCCAAAAACGCAATTTACTGAAAAATTACCGGAGCTGTGTACAGCAGCAGGACGCGTAACGAACTAATCCCTATTGTTTTGGGTTCCATTTATAGTCTACATGTGGGTTTAAGTATACACAGCCTGCATACTAATCAATAAAACACATGAATACGTTTGGAGCGTTTGAGGCAGCATATGTCTCACTCGTCTGGATATTTAGACAAAGGAGATACAGCACACGCACTAATCAGTGTCACCAAATTAGTAGTTGTACGCTTGATTTAAGTAATATTGTATGATAGTCGGGTTGATGGGACTGTCATGAAACAAATAAAGATGGCCGCATGTATTAGTTAACTTTTTTATTTGTGTTTTAAATTAAATTTCTAACTTTTTTTCAATCCGGCCATGGAGCTTTCAATCATCGGTTAGGACTAATCAAATAAATTGGTTGACCTAAATTAAACAAAATCAAGTACTGAATTTAAATGAATTATTGTTTGCAATAACTAGGTGAAGCAGGTAAAACTATTGTTTTGATTCACTACACCCTAAACCATTCTGTCGCAGTGTATATGCATTTATTTGTATTTCCAACTGATGAAAAGTACCCTGCGTGCTTAAAAATTGAGTACTATTGAGTGCTCTTTGCAAAAAGACGTCCAGGACAAAAACGAATTATTTTCAACTAAACTCTTTATGTACGGGAAACTAGAATTCAGAATGTAAAAAATATATTGTAACTAAATATGTCAAAAATATAATATTGTGACTAATGCTGTCTATATTTGGCTATGCACATTATTTCCGGTTTGCAAATTTCCATCCTTACTGACACATGTTCTATTTGTTCTTATGCAACAAAATTGAGTAGCAATATTATACGGCAATGACATGTAAAGGGAGGTAATTAGAGTGAATTTAGTGAATTTAACATCCATACAATACATGGAATCGTTGTTATTGTTCACTTGGCGCATTGTAGGTTAAAAACGACATTTCTGTTAGTTAATAGACTTGTCAGAACTAGGCAGACAATGTGTTTGTACAACACTATATTAAATCAATGTAGTCTGCTTGCGTAAAAAACACGCTTCAAGGAAAAGACATTAAAATCTTTATTGTTGAGCTGTTGATACATGGTTACCTTACAAATAATGGATCCGATGACCGATTTTTACTAAGTACACTATAACAATAAAAACGATTCCACGTACTAAATAGCTTTTAAATTATTTTAACTAAATTCACTCTCATTATTTATAATAATTTCTAATTATTTCTAATTAATTGAATTCCAGTATAATGTTACAATTGTAATGCCGCCTCTTTTGTTGTGTCATGTGACTTGAACAAATGTGTATACGCAGCCCGCACACTGATTGATAAAAACAGATAAATACGTTTGGAGGGACTAAGGCAGCATATGGATCACTCATCGTGGTATTATAACAAAGGGGACACAGCCCATACACCAGTGTTACTAAATTAGTAACTTTGCGCGTGATATAATTAATATTGTTTGATAGTGATGGGTATGTCTGTTAGGTATGATGGGTATGTCTATTAGTTGCCTTTTCAATTGTGTTATTAATTAAATTTCTTACTTACCAAGGAGCTGTAATATATCGGTTATAAATGATCAAAATAAATTGGTTACCCTAAATTAAAAGTATTGAATTAACGTCTGCCAGAACCAGGTGAAGCCGATGAAAAATTTTGCTTCACCAAACTTAAAACTATTCTGTCGCGGTGTATTTGCATTTAGTTGCATTTCTAACTGCCACAATATTGATCTGATGGTAAGCGTCCTGAGTCCAACCAAGCCAAAAACACACCATTTTCAACCAAATGTCTATGATTTGTTGATATATGTGCGGGAAACTGTATTTGCGATTGTAAAGAAGTTACGATAAATCCATGATAGTAGCTAAATATGTCTATATCTACAACTTAAAACAAAACATACCATTCCGTAAAACAAAATGCGTCGCCAGCATTGAACAGTGGCACAGTAGTTAGCATATTTACATCAACTGATTTTGAGGGTTTCATTCACTCAGCAGTATTCAGTATTCTGTCCCGATCACCGAACACAGATAGGGGCAATACAATCTATCATACCCGTGCGCTATCTCTATCCTCTATCACGTTAAAAATACATTCATAGTGAGTGAATTTTCCTCTTGATGAAATTCTTTTCTCCCATTTCAGCCCTTGTTTTACAAAGACATAGCGGCATACAATAGCCTGCGGCTGATACAGGATCTGTCACTGGGCCAAATAGTCGCACAGCCGCGTTCCACGAAAAACTGACAGCCAGCGGTATTCTCGCAATGACCTCATACTATATTCAAATGCAATAGTTGGAATTGCTGAAATATGGTGCAGTGTCTTGTCCTTCTGTCTGCCCTGTAATGGTACAATATCACCGAGCTCAATTAAAGCCATATTTATGAAAAACGTCAGTGTAGTTGATCAGCGGTAATAGATAACAGTTACATTTATCTACAACATTCCATCATAGAACCTAAAAATCAAAATGGTGGAGCATTTGCTCTTTATGTCTATATTGTAATTAACGATAATACTTATCATCAACAAATGCAAAATAACACACCATGATAGAGCAACATGGCAAAAACAACTCAAGCCAACTAATCAATATACTATAAAATGACTAATTTTCACTGCGTTTCAATTTCGCTGATCAACCATTTCAGGCATATTCAGTGAGTTTCAAATTCACTGTTTTATCATTTAGATAATGTGTTCTATGCTAAATTGTACATATTCACTGGGTATTAATTAATATAGAGCATTTTCCAGTCAGCGAAATAATCAAAATTAAAACCCAGTGAATAATTCATTCGTTTACAGTACATAGAACAATAAGCCAGTATGATACACCGGAACTACTCAGATTATGCAAATTACACGCAAATAGAAATACATTCAGGTGATGTATCTGAACATTTAAAACAGTAATATATACTGGGGTAGCGTACATTGGAAGTCATATTCCGTCGACGTCTCTCAATGATATGAAGAATGTTGCGCTTATTAATAATACTCACCATTGCAAGCTTTGCAGTAGCAGCTTCGACAGAGGTAAGTTCACAATGACCATTCTCGTCTAATTATCTGTTTTCTTCGCTGACTGGTGGGTACATTGCTTGCAAGAGCTGCATATCTCTATTATTTTAATATTTCATCACTATTATGTGACGAATCCATATATCATTTTACACAGTAACTGTACGTACACTCATGGAAGCTAACGGTTTAAAACGGAATACCAACCTTATTTGTAGTGAAATTATGAAATTATAGTATTTGAACTTTATGTGTAGATCATTATGTGTGTGGTATTTTAGACTTAATAAGTTTTTTATTCACCTAAATCATTGTGTTGTTTAAATAATAATAAGAGGATAAATCAAATTCATATTCTAGTCCTGTTATTTACAAGATAGACCGTCGTCACAAAAAAGTCACGTCTTTTTGATGAAATGGTGTGTGAGCTACCACTGATACTAACTAACGTAGTGGTGAAATATGATTTGATAATTGTTAAATGTATTTCATTCCCCCTAACACCTAATATATGACTGTTCTAGTAATGATTATATAACGGATTTATGTTATTTCTTGAAATAATTATTCATGGTTTGTTTGTTTTTATTTCACAGAGATCGATTGAGAAACGATCATGTAAGTATTACTCTACATAGTACAGTTGCTACTCGATTTGTTAACCAGACTGTCTCGCCCAATTTTTTTCTGCATTTTTTCTTATATTTCTCAATATTTCTTTAAATAACTTCTCATTTTCGAACCAATTTTCAGTTTTCACTCAACAAATGGTTACTTTTGTTCCAATCTTCTGAAGAAAAGTCAAATTATAAATAGGAATATTTTGGGAATTTGTGATGAAAAGAAGAAAGTGATGATGAAACGATTGAGGCTGTATTCGTTCATCTGCCCCATGATTTATTGTGTGTTACCGATCTTAGCTTTATTGACTGCAGTCACACCCACAAACTTTCACCGATTAACCATCATTAGCTAATATAGACTCCCTGAATAACAGTTACCCACACTTAATAATATTGTTGTTCACAATCAAAAAAGTAGTTCGACTTTCCGAAGATAGCATTCGTCTTATTGTACTGTTTATACCACTATTCGACGAAACAAAATAATTCTGCACCAATAGAGATGGATAGTAATTGTTTTTGCCGCGTATCTTTTACTCTGACGACCCTGTATATGTTGTATTATAATAATCGTATTTAATACAGCACATTTATTTTGTATGTTTCACAATGTTCACAATTTTTTAGCTTTAGCTTTTAACTTTTAAAGAGATTTGATACATTTTCAAATATGCGTGAACGTACCAAGAAAAAAGTTGTATAATCTATCGTCTCTACGGCAGGCAATAGAACCCGTGACTTATTTCCAACCACCCATAGTTGCTCTTAAATAGCAATCACATGTAAATGAGACAATACGCTCTATGAAGTATGGAATATTTTGGAGTCATATCGTAACTGTTAGCAATTAATTAACAAATCAAACTGAATGGTATATCAAATGATAAGTAATAACTTGTTCATTATTTTTTTCCTCAATATTAATTGAATTAATCTTATATCTAGAGTCAGTCGTGGGATATCCTCTATATGACAAGATATTAGAGCTCGAATACATCATATAAGTGATATTTTAGCAAGTTCTACAAAATAGTTGAAACACATTGACATTTGCTATTATCATGATTATTAAAATTATTTATTAATTTACAGCAAAGTATGAGTTCGTGAATGAGGCAGTGACTTGGGTCGATGCTAAAGCTGCTTGTGAAGCCAAGAATAAAAAGCTTGCAGAAATCCGCTCACAGGCAGATGAAGATGAAGCAGTAGCAGCAGTTGGCGGAGGAGGAGCAGGTCTGACATATATATATATATCCATATTCATCCAATATTTATGTTTATAACACCATTGTAAAAACTATGCATGTGTAGCCTGTTAGCCTATTGCTTCTTCATTGATTATTATTAGTAGTTTCTCTTGTAAATTGGTTTCGACATTAAATCCAGAACCATCCAAGGTAATTTGGGCGAATTTGTTTGGAGAATGCGCGGTGATATGAAGTGTATATTCTTCATAGCGCACAAAGTCAGGTGTAAATTTTACTCCAGAAGAAAATATGCAAAAAAGGCACTTTGTTGTTCATCATGCAAACAGATGGAATTATCTTGAATAATAAGTGTTTAGAATAGTTGTTTTTAATTGAGAAATGTTTTTAATTAAGTAGGAAAAAATTTAAATTGTGATATTATGTGAACTGCATGTCATTCGTAAGTGAACATTTTATGAGCATGTACCAGTGTTTCATTTATATTTGGGTTTGTATTCCATAAAAAAATTACAATTTGATGTGTTATGCTAGGGTATATTGTTATCATGTATTTCTACGAGTCTGTGTCAAATTTGATAGTGGTGATGTATCGTTCTATGTAGTTTGAATAATTTCATTTGGATATCACCATGAAGTGTGTTGTGAATATTTGGTTAGTTATAATGAATCTGGTATCTGGTTAAGGGCCTGGAAAATCTTAATTTAAAGTAATGCGTTAATACGATTTGCAATAAGAATTATTTAATTTTCACATGGAAAGTGAGGGGTCACATAAAAATGAGAAATTGTTGAAAACAAGATTAGAAAAAAAAAATCAGTGGCAGTATGCAAGCAGTATATTGGAGTCGGTTTCTTTGCTTAATGATTCTTGTATTGCGTTCAGATGATTTTTTCACTTCCTTCTGTTGTGAGTCCACGTTAATTGATATCATGCCCTTTCTTTCCCAGCATTGTCTTGCAAAATAGAGTAATCCAAATTGCAGTAATTCTATAAGTTCTTAGTTTATTGAAATTCTAACGTTAGGGGCTCCACCCACTATAAATTACATATACAAAATGAAACTGTATGTTTAAATTGACTAACAAAAGTTGTCACGATTTTTGAAAGATTTGTGTACATACACAGAAACCTTACTATGTCTCTCTAACTGGTAATACATGATACTCAAGATCTAACAAAGATTTTATAAATAACACAACAACGCAATCAATTAGATTGACCAATCGTGACGACAATTGCATAATCTCTCATGTTTAAACCATACAATTCATACAATTCCAAAACAATACCAATTCAATAACTTTCTAATCTTTGTTTCCAATGTAACCCTTCACTATTGAGTTGTAACTCTTAACTATTTTGCTCTGAGTTATTGGTCTGTATCCATTGTTGAGCGGAACCTTTCATGTAGAACATCTCACGCATTCATTTAAAAGCACTTCAGTAGTTACATAGAACATAACTTGGTTAACGGAAGAAGCAGTAGGTCAGCTGGTTGTCCTGGCAACCACTGACGTATTCATAGGTAACACATTTACAATTGTATATTAGTCTAAGACAGTCATTGCTGCTCGCAGCTACATTTTATATAATTGGTATCACTGATTTTCTGTGTGTGATTATGTCTAAACAGCATTTTGGATTGGTCTGGTGGATTTAGACGGCGATTTAATTTTTGAATATGCAACTGGTGGGAGCCTGACTTTCACGAGTTGGAATACAGCTCCGTTTCAGGGTGGTGGCCAATGTGTAGTGTAAGTGTATTCAAATTATCCAATATAAACGACGTATTACATTATATGTATAAAGCTTGCTGGCTTCATCATTAAAGTAAACTAGATTTTGAGGTTTATTTATGGATCTCAGTCATAAAATATTTAAACAATTTAACTGATGTAAAATATGCTTATTTAATTACCAACGTCATAAAATCGGTTTATTCCGCTATAGGCATAGCAATAACAACATTGCCAGAAGTTTTCACTTACGTGTGTGAACGAATCGGTGATATTATGCCAAGAACAAATGAACATTGCACCAATGAGTTAAAGTGGGAGGGGTCGTCACCTGCGCACGCACGGGAATTGAGTCCAAGCGATGATAACAACACACGCTAAAAACGCAAAGGCTCATGGGTAGACGCTTGTTTGTAAACAATGACACGCTATTGTCATCTGACGCATGCACAGGTGAAGAGTCTCCCGCTTCAACATTCATAGTTTAATATGGTCATATAACATCAGGAAAAGTGTTGTTCAAATTGGTTAATGATAAAGCAAATCTTTTTTTATGTATTTCATGATCATCAGTAGTTTTCAAATGAATGGGAAATAGCTGTGACGCATGATATGTCACTGTATATAACACACAATAAGACAAACAGAAGATCCAGAATATAATTCTGATTTTGCACCACGTTGACACAACATCGTGTCTCCTATACTACATTATTTACATGTCTGTAACACAGCCCCCTGGAGTCCAAAAACGGCCACTTGTAAATGCCATTGTTTCTCGAATTGCTAGGTGGAGCCTGTTTAAAATAGAATTGTTTTTAAGATAATAGTATTGTTACTCGGCCTAATCACATTGACATCAGCTAACAATGCACTATATCACTTATAGGGATTTCTCTGGTCTCTGGCGTAATTCTCTTTGTAATGATACTAGAATGATGATGCCATTTATATGTGAGCCCGGTGAGTATATTGTTATGTT